TATATATATATAATAAAACAAACAAAGGCAAAAACAAAAACTGTTAAACTAGCTGACCAGCCAACAGCTTTTTGGCCCTTAGTCAACCTAAAACAATAACAACAACAACAACAACAACAACAACAGCAGCAGCAGCGCATCGCGTGGAGCTAGCGATAAACTCCAAAAAGAGCGAGGAAATTGCTAAAATATTACCCGAAAGGCATATTCGCTATGTGCATACATGTGCAACAACAGTCCACAGATACAACAGCAACAACAACAACTAACAGCGACTGCACTGCAAAATGTATAATAAAAAATTACAACAAGTGATCGTGCAGAAAATAGATCGATAAACCGACCCAAAAAATACGAAAAAAAAGTAATAATAAAAAAAATATATATAAAAAAAACGCCAACAGAATTGAAGCAGCATAAAATAAATAAAAGCGGCGTTGGGCACGTTTTTCCTACGTTCATTCTGTGCTTTTTCCACAACTACTTTTTGTGTTGTTGTTGTTGCATTCGCTGTTTCAATTTCAATTGTGGAAATCGCAGAAAAATCGCCAAAACGTATTAAGCGAACCGGTCGAGACAAACGGAGCGATAGAACATAGCTGGACTGGGCAAAAGGACTAGCCCAGGCCGGGCAATATTTATTAAACAAAGCCAGAAATTAATTTCACGACTTTTCTGTGCCTGCATTTGAGCTGACTCCGCCAAGCGTGCGTTGCACGCCCTCAAAAACAACAACAACAAGCAGAAGCAGAAGGAGAAGAAGAGGAAGAAGAACTACGATCAGCGCCGGCTTCTTTATGCGCAGCTTGAACTTGCACTCAGCTTGAGCCAGAGACAGAGTGAGTGAGAGAGAGAGAGAGAGAGCAAAATGTACGACATCAAGCGCCTGGAAGCCGGACAACAGCAGCTACAACAACAACAACAACCGCAAATACAACAACAACAGCCTATTGGACATACACTTAACGAAAGGTTGAGCGGCTCGGCGCCGCTACAGCTAACCTGCAGCGTTATTACGCCCACGCCGCCAGCCTTCTCAGCGAAGAGCTGCTCCAGCAGCCCCATCGAAGCCACACACATGACACTGTTGACGCTGCGCCGTCGTCGGGCGTTCCAGCGTCGCGCCTGCCTGCTCAGCATATTGGCCGCCTTTGTCTTTGGCATGGCATTGGGCGTCATTGTGCCCATGCTCGGACTGCCCGACTACTTTGCCAGCACTGGCAGCAGCAGCAGCGCTGGCAGCGTTCAGTTGGCGCCCGCTGCACTGCTGCCGCCCAGCGAACAGCCGCAGCTGGGCAGCAGCTACGATCGACCGCCGTTGCCCTACAGCGTCTCCTTTGTCAAAGAGGAAGCCGAGCAGCTGGAACTCAGCGCCGAGCAGGTCTTCCGCAATGCCTTCCACCTGGAGCAGGATAAGAATGCGCCCGATTCGATGATAGTCAAGAAACTGGACACAAACGATGGCAGCATCAAGGAGTTCCACGTGCAGCGCACAGCGAACGGTCGCTATCGCAAGGGACCGGAGCGACGCCTGACCAAAACCGTACAGCCGGAGCGCAGTCGAACGCTGGCCAAGCCACAGCAGCAGGCGCTGCGGCAGTCGCACGAGAACGAGCTGCAAACGGCGGGCATCATTGATGCGGACATCTATTGGGGTGAGCTGGTGGAGCAGGCGTTGCCGCAGGGCTTTGCCGCCGAGGATCAGCACAGCTGGGAGCGTTACGTGACCAAGGAGGGGCAGGTGGTGCGGCTGGAGCACGGCTGCGGACGCATGCAGAACCGTCTGGTGGTCTTTGCCGATGGCACACGCGCCTGTGCCCGCTATCGCCAGAACACGGATCAGATACAGGGCGAAATCTTCAGCTACTATTTGGGACAATTGCTGAACATCACGAATCTGGCGCCAAGTGCAGCGACAGTCATTGACACGACGACAGCGAGCTGGTCGACGGCATTGGGCGACATAACGCAGGCGCAGTGGAAGGAGCATCGGCCCGTGGTATTGACGCGTTGGCTGCCCGACCTGGAGCCGGCCGGTATACCGCAACCGTTCCAGCCACTGGAACGGCATCTGAACAAGTACGATGTCTGGAATATAACACAGGAGCAGATGCAGATGCAGCGGGATGCTGGTGCGGCCATGTCGCGGGGATTACTCAAACGGCTGGAGGTGGCTGCTGCCAGCGGCCAAACGGCTGATCATCAATCAAGCATGCTTGAGGAGTCATCCGCAACAGCATCCTCGACTGCATCGCCGTCGCCATCGTCAGCGACGTCGTCGTCGTCGTCGTCGGCGCTGCTGCAGCGACTAATTGAATTGGCACAATGGTCCGATTTAATCGTCTTCGATTACCTGATCGCGAACCTCGATCGTGTCGTTAATAACTTGTACAACTTTCAATGGAATGCCGACATTATGGCTGCGCCCGCTCACAATCTGGCGCGACAGAGCGAGACGCAGCTGCTCGTATTCTTGGACAACGAATCGGGCCTGCTGCATGGCTATCGTTTACTCAAAAAGTATGAGGCCTATCACAGTCTGCTATTGGACAATCTGTGCATCTTTCGTCGTCCCACCATCGAGGCGCTGCGCCGGTTGCGTGCCGAGGGCGCGGGTCGCCAACTGCGCGAACTGTTCGAGCGGACGACCAGCCCGAATGTGCGTGATGTGCTGCCCTCTTTGCCGGATAAATCAATCAAGATTCTGGCAGAGCGCATCGATCGCGTGCTGGCCCAGGTTCACAAGTGCGGCGACAGCAACAAGAGCAGCTAATGAAACGAAACGATAACAACTGCACTGCATATACACATATAAAAGATATATAAAGATATACTATATATATATACATGTGTGTGTGTGTGTATATGCATCTCTGACTGATAAGCTGTAAATATCGTTAAATGAATGAAACACAAAAAGAAAAATGTTCGACTTGTTAAACATAGATGATTAATCTTAGTTTTGCGTTAAGTTAATCAAATGCCAAATGTTCACAACTGGCCCGCACGAATTAGTCAAGAGAATGCCTGAATGAGAGAATGAAGAAACGAGCGAGCTTAACAGTTCCATTAATTCACAGTTATAATTAATTAGAGTGAGGGGCGTGGCCAAGTACGAGTATTAGCAGGACATCAGATCAATAGCCGATCAAACATCTAAAGCGAGTATTAAGCATTATGAAAGAAAATATCTTGTCTTTAAGCATTCCCCGTTTTTATTATCCTTATCAACTGCTCTCTACGGTTTAGTTATAGTCTTAAGATACGTTTTTTGTGATATTTTGTTTAAGCATTAGTGAAAACTAATTGTAATCTATAGGTAGAGATCATTTTTTGTATAATTTATTTGCCATTTTCCGTAAGCGAAACAAATAAAAACACACAAACACAGAAGAAATCAAATCGAATTGAATTGCTTTGCTTTGTTGAGGTTACAGATGCAGATGCAGATGCAGATGGAGTTGGAGCTGGAGTTGGAGATGGAGATGCATGCTGCTGATATTTGTTGCACGTTGCATATACGTATATGAGCACGCCTGCGCCAGCGAGAACTTACATAGTCATGACAATAAATTGTCATTGATCTTTTTTGCAGGTGAAGCAGATGCCAAGAGATGAGCAACGGCAGCGGCAGAGGCAGCGGCAGCAGCTGCGATTGCTTCTAGTGCTCCACGGTTAACTACTCCCATGGCTGTCTCGTCTGTGCGCTGCATTTGTCAACTTGCCAGCGGAGCGCAGAGTAACTTGCCACAAAATGCTGCAACCTCTCCACGTCTCTCTCTCTTTCTATCCCGGTCTTTCTCTCTCTCTCTCTCTCTGTCTCTCTTTCTCTTTGCTTACAGACACTCGAGTGGCATGGTTGTCACGCAGGCCGCAGACACTGCCTCCAACTCCAGCTTCAGTTCGGCCTCGGCTTGCTTTTCATAATATCTTCATAAGCATTTGAAGTGTCCCCCTCTCTCGCTCTCTCTCCCTCTCTACCTCTCTCTGTTGCTCTTGCTATCTCTGTCTCTGTGTGAGTTTGAAATTCAAGTGCAGCGACGAAGCCAGAAGAAAGATGAAGCTGAGCCGGAATGAGGCAAAGCGCAGTTCAAGATACTTTCGTCGCACACAAACACACACACACACACTGAGATACACATGTGTGTGAGCCCTGCCTCTGCACAGATAGCAGCCAGCAGACCCTGGTGCCGGGCCTCAGGTCCAGGCCATCTCTGGCGGCTGTCTCGGCGTCTGCTTTAAGATTTAAGATCGCTGCTCATTAAGTGCGTCCGCGTGTCTCAACGACAAGATGCTGAGAATGAGAATCTTTTGCGCGCTCACTCTCGCTCTCTCTCTCTCTCACTCTCTCTCTTGCTGTCTCTCATTCTCTCTGTCTATAGCTCTCCCACTCTGGCGCAGCCTTGGCATGCGTATCTCAGGCTTTTGGGCTGGCTTTTCCAGCAACTCGTCTCGTTGCCTGGAGTTTTGCATCTGATTTCGTTGCGTATATTTTATTGGACACCAGAGTAGTTCACGTAAATAAAATGAAATGAAATAAGGCAAGCAGCCAGGCAGCCAGGCAGCCAGGCAGGCAGGCGTCTGCAACTGGAACGAGACTGAATTATATATATATATATATCTGATATACATTTATATATTTATTTGTATATGGTCAGCAGTGTTGCTCTATGAAAATAGCTGAAGCACTTTGCTTACTTTCCACTTAGTTGCGCGTCACAAATCGCATAAGAAATTCGAAAGGCTCCAAAATATAAAGAGCACCAAATATTTAGATAACCCGTTTCTCGCTCACAATACTCCTGCTAAGCGTGCGTGTGTGTGTATGGGTGTGTGCGTGTGTGTGTGTGTGTCTGTTGGAGCTTAATAAAAATCGTTATGCTAGTTTAATAAATATATCAAATAACCTTTAGGACGTGTTAGGGAACTTGTGACTTTAACACGTTCAGAACTTGCTACAAACTCTTTAAGCATATCGTTTTACATTTCGGATACACAAAATCAGAAAACAGAAATCTTCTGTAGCTAAAATCAAAGAGATTTCCTTCATCTAAGCGAGATAGACCATTAAACAATATAATAGAGCTCTTTGCAGTTCAAGCATAAAATATAGAAACAAGAAATGTGGAGAAATTGTTGAGGTAGGTGTCAAGAGGGCAGACGACCTGCGGCCCACCAGCTGTGCCATTGTCTAAGCACACAGTCAATCACACGTTTATGAAGTCAAACTGCAAACACTTTGCATGTATGTTGTAAAACTTACCGTAACAAACAACAAATACAACACCAGCAACAACATTAGCAGCAGCAGCAGCAGCAGCAAGAACAAGAGTATACAATTTTTATGATCATTTTTTATGGGGTTATTAATAAAAGTTTATGGACATGTGCCATACGGTTCAGGCAACAATAAAACATAATTCGCCTACAGTTAGGATACGTAGCAAGGGTAGCTCAATGAATAATATCAATTGACAGAACTAAGATATCAAAATCTGACAAAAAATTGATATTAAAACTGAGGTGTGTGATGGGAATGTTAAAGTTGAAATACTCAGGATGTATATAGATATTTATTGGAAGCGTTTTGAATGACTCGAAATATAAAACAATGTGTTCATTCACAAACGAATTTTAAACACTTTGTTGACATTCAGGTGTGTGAAATTGTCATAAAAAGGTGAGTAGTGTAGAATTGAAGAACTTGGGTAAAAAATAATGTTTGCTTTAATATGCGATCAACTCTACTGCAAGCAGTAGCTATATTACTTCCGTTAGTTATATGTTTGAGACTCTTTCAAATGTGCAGTAGCTGTTGAAGACTTGAATTTCAATTATAAATATCTAAAATCGATTATGTATGAACTGTTTTTTTCTGAATAATAAAAAAATATATTTATTTGTAATGAGTAACGATTAAATCTAAAATGAGAAAAGATTCCACGTTTCTACCTATTTTTCTATTTTCAATTTGTTATTATATAAAGGTTCATATTCAATTGATATGCATTATTATCTTATTTTATATTTATTTTTC